ACCCTTCTGGACTGAGTTTCTCGTTTCCATTTGCACAGGGCCAGCCTGGACTTGTAGGTCCACCAGGCCTCCCAGTAAGTATCTATTTCTTGTTGCACGCTTCTGTCAAGAAAGTACACCATGAATCATGTATCTGGTTTGTATACAATGGCCTTTGATTGCACAATACATTAAATTAGTTTAGTGTAATGGGCTTCAGCCTTGCGCTCACACATGATCCATTCCTCTGTTTTCCTATAGTGTGGTTACTGGGGTAGTGGAGTGGGGAGGTATGAAACATGGATCCTGGACAACAGGAATTAATTCTTAGAATTGCCGATCTTGACCACTTTTTCTTTGACTCAGGGATCAGCACCATGCAGTCTGGTAGATAATGTTGGATTGCAATTCCTCACCAGTGACTGCTAAGAATGGTGGGAGATGCAATCCAACAATGCTGGGAAGTCTGCATGATGCCTGCTCCTTTGTTAGTCTGGGTTGGAGAAAGGGCAGCTTATGGGAATGGTTTGGGAGTAGCTGTACTGGGATAGTTCAATAGGGCATAGGATTCTGGGAATAAGTGCCCTGAAGTTGTTAGAATTGGCATTGTGGAAGGGGAAGGAAGAGTAGGTGATGACCATTATTATGAATTACAAGGGGTCTATTTCTTTTCTGAGATGTCTCTGCCACAACAGCCTTGGCATTTCCAGCACTTGATTCTTTGTCAAAGACTTCTTACCCACTATGACTCTTTTCTCATTTCAGGGGCCTTCCTTGCCAGGTCCTCCTGTAAGTACCATTCATGGGAAATTGGGTTATACTGGTGTAGAGTTCTTAGCTCTCAGGTCCTGGCCCCTCTTCTCTGATCCTTAGGGAAAGACAGAGCAAGGAATGCCTGGGCGAGAGCGCTGTCTTGAAAAGTGTGTGTATTCTCATTTGTGAGACTTGGAACTTTATTGCACAAGAAAACAATATTTTTTGCCCTCTCTGTTTTTGGCTTCAGGGTCCTGCAGGCCAAGTTGGACTTCCAGGAGAAATTGGGGCTCTGGGACCCAAGGTAAGGAATCTAGCAGGACTAGTCCTGCCACTGGGCAAAGCGAGGCAGTTGCCTCAAGCAGCCGATATTGGGAGGAGACACTAAATTCAAGATGGAGGGAGCTATATGCTCTTTGGGTGTTTAGGATCCTTATGTTTCCTACATGTAGCTATCAGTCTATCCACACTGCACAGTTATAGAAGTCTGATACCACTTTAACTGCCAAGTCTCCAGCTGAAGGGATCTTGGGATGGAGAATTTGGCAAAGTATCTAGAATTCTCTTTCTACTGAACGGTAATCCACTCTCCCTTTGCATTACAGTACAAGAGTTTTCTAGCAGAGTTTTCTATGTCTTCCACCAAAGGATTCTGTTGGGTGCATCCATGATAGTTAAAGTGCTATGAGACTGATATAACTGGATGCACTTTCATAGCAGTTCAAGTGATACGAGACTGATATAACTGTAGTTTGGATAGGCTTTCATGGCAGTTCAAGTGGTACCAGACTGATATGTGTGGTTATACTTGTGTGGTTATACTTTTGTGTTAAACCAACAAATACCTATGGGTCTGAATGCTATTGTTAGTTCCAGTTTGAGCTGACCCATTTAACCAATGGATTGACCAAAGGACTCACCATTCAACACATTGTTCCAATGGGTCTACTCTATTTGGAACTAGCTGATAGGATGCAGGCCATGATCTCCATTTAATGTCTCTTCCATTGCTAGGGATTCAGGGAGCTTGCCCTGGCAGAAACTGAATTCTGACTTGTCTTTTGGTATATGCTGGTAACCATCAAGAAACTTTCACAGACGGAATCCATTTTTGGCTTCTCTTTTTGCAGGGGTTCCGTGGACCAGATGGACCACGAGGTCCTCCAGGACCTCCTGGGAAGCCGGTAAGTTTTGTTGGTGCTCATTTGGGGGTATATGGCATAGAGGGCTTCTTCTGACAAAGTGCTCATAACGCCATCAGATTATGGCTTTTCCAATATAAACTGTAGTTGGAATTGTAATGGACTTCCTATGCAAACATGTACAACACATTAAAAATGTTGTGTATAAAATTGCCTTCAGACAATGTGTATAAGGTACACATGATGTATAAGGTACAATGTGTATACAATGTGTATAAGGTACACTTTGAAAATTTCATGTTTCGACTTTGATATCTCATTATGGATTTGCAAATATTCCAAAATCTGAAAAATCCAAAATCCAAAGCATTTCTGGTCCCAAGCATTTCAGATAAGGGAGACTCAACATGTGTTA